TGAAGGCGCTCCCTGTTCCTCAATCTTTGAACCCTTCTCTTCTGATTCTTCATGAAAATACCAGAAGGACACCATTGATTTGTCCTGACTACGTCATCCTCCTGGCCACGACCTTGATTCACTGGGCCCAATCTTTGACGAACAGACACTCTTTCCTGCCTCAGCCGATTACTCCTATTATATGACTGACTTGAGCTCTCAATGATATCATTGCACCCAAGGTAGTTTTCGATAGACGGCAACCTCATCCCTTCATTCCAGCAGAATCTAAAGAACTCACAACCCCAATGAGGATCAAAACCATCATCGTGTTCTTCATAATGCTTCTCCTGCTGCTTCTCATACTTCCTCTGATATTTGTTGATTATCTTAGCCGAATTCACTTGAAAACCCTTTGCACGGACGCTATCGGCTGATTGGCCAGCTGTATGTACCATATTAACAGGAAAAGGATTACCATCGACCTTCATTGGCCTCTTCGAATCATCAAACTTGATTTTTCCTCCCTCAATATCCGTTTGGATCTGCTGCCTGAAGACCTTGCAGTCATTAGTCGTATGAGACCCAGAATTATGCCACTTACAATACCTCTTTTTGCCCAACTCTTCAGCCGATGGAATTGTATGTCCAGCAGGAAGTTGAATCTGTTTTTCTCGAACTAGCAAATCAAATATCTTATCAGCCTTAGTTATGTCAAAGTCATACCTCTCCTCTTTTCCTGAGTTTTTCACCCATTGGTAAGGTATAACCTTTTTGCTCCTAACCCACTCAGCTGCAGCTATTTCAGAATCATCATCCTCACCATCCGATCCATACATATAAGGATAAACATGATTAATCTTCCTAGAGTTCTTCCTAGCTTCCGCGAACCTTTGTTCATGCAAACCTACCTTCTGTGTAAGGTACGACAAGCTTTCGGAATCTTCAGATGAGAATTTTTCCTTGATCGGAGCAATCATCCCTTAAAAAGCCAAATCGGCTAACTGGGCATCAGTCAAGCTCAAGCTGTAACACTTATTCCTCATTTCCCTGAACCTTTGAATATACTCATGTACCGGCTCATCATGCTTTTGCTTGATTGACATGAGATCAGACAGTTTCATCTCGTGAATCCTACTATAGAAATAACTATGAAACTGCTTTTCTAAATCGGCCCAACTGTTAATCGACCCATGTGGCAGCGAAGAAAACCAAGTAAAAGCCAACCCAGCCAATGACAACCGGAATAACCTAACCCTCAAAGCATCTACAGCCGATGCCTCACCACACTGAGCTAAAAATCGGCTAATGTGCTCATAAGTCGATGTAGTGTCTTGTCCTGAAAACTTTGAGAAATCAGGTACTTTGAACCAGTTAGGTAAAGGAACTCTTTCAAACCATTCAGGATATGGTTGTCGGTACAAATTTCCAGTCTCCTTTGGTTTAAGCCCAAATTGCTCCCTCATTACATCACCTATCACATCAGCCCATGGTCGCTGCTGAGGTGTTGCTTGAGATTGTTGTGGTGTGGGCTCATGTCACGACCGGAAATAACCCAACGGGTGTTCCTTACGTGCGTGTATTATTCCTTGTCCCAGGAGGCAAGGTACACCAAAAGTTAATACAATTCAGAGTTTAACAAGCGGAAGCGTAAATAGTTAATTTATTACATGGGCAGCGAAGGCCCAGCACACACAGAGACAAACGAGAAACAGCGGAAGACTAGGACGACGACCACAGGCGCTTGACGGCAGGCACGAGCTAGACACCAAAGCCTTCATCTTCTAGGGGCTCCTCTTCTGGGGTTGGGAAAAATTGAGCAAGACTGAGTACAACCACCGTACTCAACAAGACACACCCACAAGTGCAGAATAAATGCAAGGGAGTACAAAGGAGTTATACTATAAAGGGTTAGGGTTTGCAGTAAACAGCATTTAAAGGTACTTAGTTGCTCAAAGCTATTTTGTAAACACGATTCTAGAACTATACCATATTATTTATCATGGCCGTGAACCCACACGAACCTGCCTTAACCCAAGGCCTACGATGATTCAGACCGAACTGGCAACCCGACCCTGGGTCCCAGCTCGTCCCAAGCCAACCCAGGCCAACCATTCCACATTTTAGTTGTTAAGCAGGTTTTAAGAATTAAAACACTAACTTGGGTACATTGCTCGGCTTGCCCATAACCGAGGGCGCGGCTATTCGAATAGATTATACTCTGATCAGAGGTGTACATCTTTACCCACAAGACACATCTTCCTCACGTGCGACCACGTGCCACATACCACCACGGTATACAGACGGAAGACGTGACATAGTTTCCAACCCATCCTAGCCATAGACAAGAGTACCGACCCAATCCCACCTACGGCCGGAACCCCCGGGACAGGCAGGTAGGACTGAGCCCCTAGCAGCAGGACACCGGCCCTGTGCCATGACATCTCGACTACCGGGCCGCAGCTCGTGTAGCCTTCATTTGCCCTGGAGATGTCCATCGACCCCCGACTTCTTCCATCTCCATCCGTGTACTTTTGTTTATAACCAGACTGACCCACAAACTAAGCCTTACCCACTAGACATGTGGAAGTACGGTAGTGCTTTGCAACAGAGGCCCGAAGACCGGTCCTTGTATGGCCGAGGTGCTACTATCAAAACCATGCACCCCGAGCCCAGCCTAAAACCATTTTGGGGATTTTGAATAGAAGGAGCGGTGTGAAGCCAATTCCACAATAACCAAACCATTCCAAAGTGTCCAGGTGATATGAATATTCCCAAAGTCTAGAGTTGTAAAACCGCCTAATGTTACCTAATTAAATTGCGAAGCATCTACCTAAAATTATACTAGTGGTACTATGAGTAGAGTGTCCACTAGTTGGGGTTTTGTTTATTCTAGGGTGAACAAGGTAATAATAACAACAACAATAATAATAAGGTCATAACAAAGGTAAATAGGCATGGCTAGATAAAACAGTGATAACGCGGGAATTTAAATAAAGCGGTAATGCAATAATTTAAATCAACATAATTTTACAAACTGGGATTCAATATGTTCAAAGATGATGTGACTTGCCTTGCTCGCTTTCCCAAACGTCGGCTTCAACTTCCACGAAGAGCGGATCTTCCGAAGCTGCAGCGTCTACACGACCAACGGAAAAGAAAAAGGCTTTTACTCTAATAAACTCCATATAACAAGCAGAAACAAAGCACAAAAATGGGTTCTTGACTTCTTAAGGAAAAATTAGAGACTTGAACGGTCCAATTCCGAGTTCAAATGGACAAGTTATGGCCATTTGAAGTTTATATGCTCTTTAAATGGATATTTGGGAAAAGTTTATATGCCCTTTTAGCCATGCCTTGTTTATAAGGGGGTGATTATGATCCAGGAAGGTGCGCTGCAGTGGATTGTGTTGTATAAGGGGTATTGTCACAACTCCTTTCCGAGATACCGTGGTTGTATTGAGGCACATGGTGACATGATGTGGGGTTGTGTCTTGTGGGTACAGTGGTACACCTCTGATCAGAGTAAAACTATTCGAATAGCCGTGCCCGCGGTTATGAGCGGGTCTAACAATGTCTTTCGTGATTAGTTTCACACTTGTCACCATAGTAAATGATGCTATAATTGGTAATAATTTGATTAGCTCCTGGTTTGGAATGGTACATTCCTGGTTTGGAGATAGAACTGTGCAGCCGGGATGGTTGTTCAGAATGGTTGGGCCTATACAACAGGGTATGTTGTATAGCGTTGGATTAATATTGTTTAATACTTAACTGTTTTATTAAATTCTGAAATGTTTGCTAAATGCTGCTTTTGCAAATGAAACCCTACTATGCCATCCTTTGTTATCCTGTGCACTTGCATATTTGCTGCGTGGCTTGCTGAGTATGTCATATACTCACCTTGCAATCATTCATCAGAGGAGGAGTTCTTCAATGAGGCTGATGGTGTGGAGGATTAGGTGTAGCCTTGGTCAAGCTGCCTGTGGAGTGGAGCCGTCTGCGCCGTTTATCTTTTTTTTCCGCTGCTTAGATCTTTATTGTTTGAGAGAAACTATCTACCTCTGTAATGACATTTTATTCGCTTATTAATTAGAGTAATAATTGTACTCTATTATCAATTTGTTATTGTGTGCCTCGGCTGATTCCTCGACGAGGGTTCACACACATGTAAGCGTTTGGAATTTTGGATAGAAATTCCGGGCGTGACAGATGTACACCTCTGATCAGAGTATAATCTATTCGAATAGCCGCGCCCTCAGTTATGGGCAAGCCGAGCAATGTACCCAAGTTAGTGTTTTAATTCTTAAAACTTGCTTAACAATTAAAATATGGAATGGTTGGCCTGGGTTGGCTTGGGACGAGCTGGGACCCATGGTCGGGTCGCCAGTTCGGTCTGAATCATCGTAGGCCTTGGGTTAAGGCTGGTTCATGTGGGTTCACGGCCTTGATTAATAATATTGTATAGCTCTGGAATCGTGTTTACAAAATAGCTTTGAGCAACTAAGTGTCTTTTAATGCTGTTTGCTGCAAACCCTAACCCTTTATATTATAACCCCCTTGTACTCCCTTGCATTTATCCTGCACTTGTGGGTGTGTCTTGTTGAGTACGGTGGTTGTACTCAGTCTTGCTCAATTTTTCCCAAACCCAGAAGAGGAGCCCCTGGAAGATGAAGGCTTTGGTGTCTAGCTCGTGCCTGCCGTCAAGCGCCTGTGGTCGTCGCCCTAGTCTTCTGCTGTTTCCCGTTTGTCTTTGTGTGTGCTGGGCCTTCGCCGCCCATGTAATAAATTAACTATTTACGCTTCCGCTTGATAAACTCTGAAATGTATCAACTTTTGGTGTACCTTGCCTCCTGGGACAAGGAATAATACACGCACGTAAGGAACGCCCGTTGGGTTAATTCTGGTCGTGACAAAAGATACAACATATTTAACAGTGGTAGCGTGGGGCTTGGCCTGAGTTCCAAGAAAGCAAAAGACGCGCGACTCTATGGATAGAAACGGCGGAGGTGTTTGATATTCTAGGGGTTAGGCAACGCCGTGCCGTCCTCCGTGGTTAGCCGAACGGAGCCCAGCTGGGGAACGCCGATCACTTTGTATGGCCCTTCCCACATTGATGAGAGCTTGCTCAGCCCCAAGCGCGACTGTACGCGGCGCAAGACGAGATCGCCGACTTGCAGTGATCGGGCCCGGACGTGGCGCTGATGGTAGCGCCACAGGCTTTGCTGGTAGCGCACCGCTCGCAGGGCCGCGCACCTTCTCCGCTCTTCTAAATAGTCGAGGTCGTCGTGGCAAAGATCATCCTGGTTGGCCTCATCGTACAGCGTGACGCGTGGCAAACCCAGGGAAAGCTCCGAAGGTAGGACCGCCTCGGTGCCATGCACCAGGAAAAAGGGTGTTTCCCCCGGGGCGCGACTTCGAGTGGTCCGATTCGCCCACAGCACGGCGGGCAGTTCCTCGAGCCATGAATCCCCGTGCTTCTTCAGGACGTTGTACGTCTTGGTCTTGAGTCCTTTGAAGATTTCGGCGTTGGCTCGCTCGACTTGGCCGTTGCTCTTGGGGTGGGTAGGCGAGGCAAAGCACAGCTTGATGCCCATGTCGTCGCAATAGTCGCCGAAAAGTTCACTGGTGAACTGGGTGTCGTTATCTGTAATGATACGGTTGGGCACCGATTGGGTAAGTGTGGACCCCCGTTTTTATAACAGAAATCAATCGTGTAAACAGTACCATTTCCCTGGATCAAGTAGTCTGGTACACACGAATTCATAGCTGAAATACCAAGTGCACATACACGAGTGTCTAGAACGAATTATTACATCATAAGCCCGCAGGCATAGTCTTAAATCATCGGACCAAGTGGTCCGGAATACATTCCAAAAACAGAAGTAGGTAAGGCAGCGGAGTTAAGGCAGCGGCACGCCATTGCCACAGGCAACGACCGTAACTAAGACCTACTGAGCGCCATCGTCTTCATCACCATCCTGGTAGTAAGCATAGGGATCCTCCGAAGCTTCATCTCCGACCACTGATTAAGTTTGTATATTGCAAGGGTGAGTACCAATCGTACTCAACAAGCCACCACAGCAACAATGCACATGACGGTGACGCGACGGCAGGCGGCGATGGTGACGTCGGCACGGCTCGGGGCGGCTAGGGACAGGCGATGGAGGAGGGGCAGGGCTACAGAACCACATCGAGCACCTAGAGTGCAATGAACAGTGTCTTTTTCCTATTTTTCTCATTTTAGTCTATTTCTTATATAAATTTGGTTCCACAATTTCTAATTTTTGCATATATGAATTTTTCTCAATATTTGTGTTATCTCAACTAATGAATTCACCCTAGATTAATATTACTCATATTTTATTTATATAATTTATTTGAATTTTTAATTAGGGTTAATTCTTATTCCATCGCATTTAAATTTAATTGATACAAATATGATCGTGATAATATTTTATTTATTTCTATCCACACCTAATCTTTATTTTAAGTTATATTTATTTTACCAATTTACTTCTAGGGTTTATTCCTAATTAACTATTCTTTACTCACGATTAATGAACTTCGAAATCAAATCCAAATAAAATAGGCGAATAAGATCGGCATGATGCAATTAATTTAAAAGTTTTCGAAGGCCCGTATTTTTAGAGTTTTGTTTTTATTGGTCAAATTTTCAGGGTGTTACAAACCTACCCCCTTAAATAAATCTCGTCCCGAGATTTCTTACAGGTTTTCGAATAGGTGGGGGTATTCTGTCTTCAAGAATTCTTCGCTTTCCCAAGTGGCTTCATCCTCAGTGTGATTACTCCATTGTACTTTGTACATACGCCACACTTTGGTTCTAGTCTTCTTTTTAGCTTCATCCAATATCCGGACTAGGTGTTCTGGATACGTGAGATCATTGCTGATATGAATTTCTTCCAACGTAGCTTGTTCTTCCGGCACTCGCAAGCACTTCTTTAACTGAGACACATGAAAGACTGGGTGCACATCGGCGATATTTTCTGGTAGCTGTAACTGGTATGCAACTTCTCCTCGTCTAGCCGTGATTTGAAAAGGTCTCACATATCTTGGCGCTAGTTTTCCTTTGACCTTAAACCTTTTCGTTCCCCTCATCGGAGAAACCTTTAGATAAACGTAGTCTCCTTCCTTCAATTCCAGGTTTCTTCTTCGGGTGTCGGCGTAACTCTTCTGTCGTGATTGTGCCACTTTTAGATGGTCTCGAATCAGGCGAACCTTTTCTTCGGCTTCTTTGATAATGTCAAGTCCAAATATCGCCCGTTCACCTGTCTCGGTCCACATTAGTGGGGTACGACATCGTCGACCAAATAATGCCTCATTTGGCGACATCTTTAGGCTCGCTTGGAAACTGTTGTTGTAGGAGAATTCGGCGTAGGGCAAACATCTCTCCCAGTCTTTGCTAAAATCCATTGCACAAACTCTCAGCATGTCCTCCAAAACCTGGTTGGTTCTCTCCGTCTGGCCATCTGTCTGTGGATGATAAGCTGTGCTAAACGCAAGGTAACTTCCTAGGGCTTCATGTACTTTCTCCCAGAAATACGAGGTAAACTGTGTGCCTCGATCAGATATAATCCTCTTAGGTACACCATGAAGACACACTATCCTGGTCATGTACAACTCGGTGAGTTTAGCACTGTTATAGTTTGTCTTGACGGGGATGAATCTTGCCGTCTTGGTGAGTCGATCCACAATCACCCAGATGGAATCGTACCCTGTTGCGGTCTTGGGCAATCCAACAATAAAATCCATACCTATCTCATCCCATTTCCACTCGGGAATCCTAAGGGGTTGCAGCAAACCTGCCGGTCGCTGATGCTCAGCCTTCACCTTTTGGCACACGTCACAGAGTGCTACGTATTCTGCCACATCTCTCTTCATGTTGGGCCACCAGTATCCTTCCTTCAGATCCTGGTACATCTTCGTACTTCCGGGGTGTAATGAATATGCTGATTTGTGAGCTTCCTTTAGAATTAATCCTCTCAGTCCACCCTGTTCAGGTACATAAATCCTCTTTTTATACCATAGGACATCCTTCTCGTCGGTTGAAAATTCCTTTGCAAATCCTGCAACTAGACGTTCCTTCACCTCTCGGATTTCCTCGTTGTCCTTCTGGGCCTCTTCTATTTGGGTTCTCAAAAGAGGTTGAATGTCCAGGTTGTTTATCTGTCCATGAGGTACCATATGTAGGTTTAGTTGGGCTATTTCCTCCTTAAGCTCAGGAGCCATCCCTTCCGTCCTCAGATGATTGCAATGGCTCTTCCGACTCAAAGCGTCGGCCACAACGTTGGCCTTGCCGGGGTGATAGTGAACCTCTAGATCATAGTCCTTGATTAATTCCAGCCATCGCCTTTGCCTCAAGTTGAGATCTGACTGGGTGAAAATATACTTCAGACTCTTGTGGTCAGTGTAGATATCGCAATGGTTTCCAATCAAATAGTGTCTCCAAATATTTAGCGCATGAACCACAGCTGCGAGTTCTAGGTCATGGGTAGGGTAGTTTTCCTCATGTGGTCGCAATTGTCGTGATGCATAGGCCACAACCTTTCCGTCCTGCATCAGTACTCCTCCTAGTCCCTGCCTTGATGCATCACAATATATAACAAAGTCTTTCCAGATGTCCGGAAGAACTAAAATAGGCGACGAGGTCAGCTTTTCTTTGAGCTGCTCAAAGCTTTCCTGACACTGTTCTAACCACACAAACTTCTTTTCCTTCTTGAGTAGTTGTGTCATTGGTCGGGCTATCTTAGAGAATCCTTCAATAAACCTTCGGTAGTATCCGGCTAAGCCTATAAAACTCCGAATTTCAGTCACAAATTTGGGTGCTTTCCATTCCGTAACGGCCTCAACTTTAGCAGGATCCATTGCTACTCCACCGGCTGAGATTACGTGGCCTAGAAAAGCGACTTCTTTTAACCAGAACTCACATTTACTAAACTTTGCATATAATTTATGCTTCCGAAGTTTCTCGAGTACCAATCGCAAGTGTTCCGCATGTTCGTCCTCATCTTTGGAGTAGATTAGAATATCATCAATGAATACTACCACAAATTTGTCCAAGTAATCCATGAACACTTTGTTCATAAGATTCATAAAGTATGCCGGGGCGTTGGTTAACCCAAACGACATTACTGTGAACTCATACAATCCATAGCGTGTTGAAAACGCGGTCTTGGGTATATCCCCGGTCCTAATTTTCAATTGGTGGTATCCTGATCGAAGGTCAATCTTAGAGAACACCTTAGCTCCTTTGAGTTGATCAAAAAGATCATCAATCCATGGTAGTGGATACTTGTTCTTGATAGTTACTTCGTTTAGTGAACGGTAGTCTACACACATCCTCATGCTACCATCTTTCTTCTTGACGAATAGCACTGGGGCTCCCCAAGGTGACGAACTGGGGCGTACAAATCCCTTTTCTTGCAATTCTCTGATTTGCTTTTTAAGTTCCTCCAACTCATTGACTGGCATCCGATAAGGTCTCTTGGATATGGGAGCAGTTCCGGGTATCAGATCAATAATGAACTCTATGTCACGATCTGGTGGCATCCCAGGTAAATCTTCTAGAAACAGATCGGGAAATCGTTGCACTACAGGCATTCCTTTCAGGGGTAGCATGGTAAATATGCCTCCGGCATGTTCGGTTAGTCTAGGATCTTGATCCATGGTTGCTCTCATATCCGATCCCCAGGGTGTGGTCAAGGTAACTTCCCTACGTCTACAGTCGATTACCCCTCTGTTCTTTGTTAACCAATCCATACCCAATATGACACCCACGGTCTGGGGTATCAAAACCATAAGGTTGGAGGGAAACACCACATCCCTAAGATGAATAGGTACGTCTATGCAAGCATGACTCACAGTTATCTCGCCCCCAGGTGAGTGTACTATCATAGGCTTTCTAAGTCCCACTAGGGTTAAGTTGTGTTTTTGACTAGCCTTCAAAGATATGAATGAATGCGATGCACCAGAATCAAAGAGGACTTTAACCGGGGTAGAATTGATAGAGAACATACCCATTAGTACGCCCTGATCTTCCTAGGCCTCTTCAGCTCGAACATGGTTCACTTGTCCGCGTCCAAATCTGGTAGCGGTCCTGTTAGTTTGCGGAGTCTTGAATAGTCCTCGTCCGGCAGCAGGGGCAGTAGTTCCACTAACAGTCATTGCATTAGCGCCAGTATGGACAGGAGTTTTGCGTGGATGAGGGCAGTTGTTGGCGTAGTGCCCATACTCCCCGCAATTGAAGCAGTCCACATTCTTCTTGGCTCCAGGGGCAGCCAGAGTTGGTGTAGGGGTGCGATTCTGAATCGCAACCGGCCTGTTGAAATTTCTAGGTGCGGCGGGGCGGTTGGTTGCCACAATAGGGGGCTTCCACCCAGACGAAGTGGCTCCCTTGTGTCGCTGAGGCACTCCCTGAGGTGGGCAATTCATAGCAAGCCTCCTCTTGCGGTTGTGCCCTACAGTCCTTTGATCGTTCTCCAGCCTAACGACCTTGTTGATTAGGCTCCGGAAACTCTCATGATCTTGCCCAATCATAGGTCCACGCAACTCATCATTCAGCCCTTCTATGAACTTG